GGATTCTTTCTCATTTTCGAATCTTTTAGCTTTAGTGTTTAGATCTGATATAATATACGATATAATTGATATATGATATATGATATAATTTCAACGCATAGGTTTTAGCAAACTTCGAAATGGTCCCAAAAACCCACTGATAAATAACTCTATAATTTATAAGGAATGAATTGTATATTATACTGCCTGACTAAGAAGATACATGGCTTCGTTACTGATAGTGTTTGCTTCATTGAGAACAACCCAGGGAATCAGTTTTTCGTAGGAAAGGCGAAAAATTATTATTCAATTATATCTAAAGCATCAAAATTCCAACGAGTCACATCGATAATCGATAGCAATTGTGATTATATATATATATATATATATATATATATATATATATATATATATATATATATATATATATATATATATATATATATATATATATATATATATATATATATATATATATATATATATATATATATATATATATATATAGATAAAGATAAAATAAACCTGGTTTACTTCATAAGATTTATTCACTAGTGAATAAATCTTATGAAGTAAACCAGGTTATCTATATTAGCTCTATACTTCGGTATATCGAGCACTCTACTCATATATGATTCTAAATGCATATTTGGTATATATATATATATATATATATATATATATATATATATATATATATATATATATATATATATATATATATATATATATATATATATATCGAAATAAACTTCTAACAATGCCCATTAATTATTAAAAAAATTAACTTCCAACTACAACTTCTAACGGACAATCAAACTGGACAATCAATGGACAATCAAACCTGCAAACAAAATGTCTGCTATACATGGATTTTTTCACGCTGTTAAAGCAGTGAAAACATTTTCTATTGTTGTTGCAGTGTTAGCTATCTGTGTCCTCACTCCAGCTGCAGGTGGTTGGTGTGGTGCTACACTATTCCTGTAGTCCGTCATGAATACAGATGTGGTGTGTAGTTTTTCATTATGAACTTTGTAGAATAAACTCGATCGTGAATGCTTTCATCTATGGAATGAGACATATCAAATACAGAAAAGCTTACCGACGTATCCTTTTTAAAATACTTCGCTGCAATAAACTCACAAACTGATCGATGACTCTGCCTTAAATCTCACGAAAATCAACGTCCACGTTAGTTGCTAACGAAGGATTTTGCAAAGCAATTAAATACTGAACGGAATAATAAATTTACTCGAATTATTTATTGTTCTTTTAAAAACGAGTATAATTCACATTAATCACCTGCTGGAACTTTAAAGTGTCTATGACATGAAATTAAAATTTCGAATTGATTTTTGTTTTTGATATATATTCAAAGATCTATATTATTTCAAACACTCATTAATAATTCATAAGCTTATTGGCAAATCATGTCAACCATAATATGTCACGTGCAGTGGCTTTAAACCTGATAAAACACTCCTAATTAGTATTCTTTATATAAAGAATACTAATAAGGCAGTATCTATTGTAGTCGTATCCTCATTAGTATTTTTTTTTATATAAATAATACTAATAAGGCAGTAAATCTATTGAATTTGTAGTCGTGTTTAAAGCCGTTCAATAAACTCGCAGGTCGTGTTTTATTAGGTCTAAAGCAGGGCGCTTATATAGTGGGCGGTGTAACGCGCTGATGTCGCGCTGATCGATGTGTGATGCGGAAAAGGACTGGCACGAGCGTGCTTTTCCGCAAAAGTTGACAAGGAGCGTGATTTTTCCTGCTGTTGTATTTTTCGCTGTTTTTTCATTAACTACGAAATTCTTGAGGATGTTTTTGCACTGTAACGACGAAGTAGTAACTGGTGTATCGTACGAATGTTTGTTTGGCCTGTATAGTTGAATTTTGAAAGAAATATTGAGGATAATGAGTTGGGCTTTTGATGACTTCAATGAAGGGAAATTTTCAAAACAGCATTTGGGCATGTTATCAAGTCGTCCAAACTTCGAAATTCAGTTGATGGTAAAGATTATAATTATGTACTTATCGCCAAAAGTTTTCATAAGACTCGGAGTTGAGCAATTGAAAAAACAGCGTTGGAAAGTGAGGTATTTTTGTGTGTTAAATTTTGCCTCGTTAGACCATTATTTCGCTGCAAAAAAATAAACAACAATTGTATTTTGGCCATGTCATGATTTTTTTCTTATTATGTTAATAATTTTGTACGACTTTTAAGGCATTCAATTGAAGTAATTCTGAGCCGTAAACATATTTTACTTCTTGGCCTTTGAATCAAAATACGACTCGCTCGGACGTTTGTTGAGCGCAATAGTCGAAAAGGTTTCGTCCCAACTTTGATTTTTTTTGACCGGCTGGCCAAGACAACTTCTCGTAAGGATTCGTTAAAAAAATACAAATTCAAGTTGAGCATTTCTTGATTTTCAACTGAAAAGATCAACTAGTGGCTAAAATTAATATGAATTGTATTCTATCGAACGTGAACGATACAGTACGTGTACGTACGAAGAGTTTTAAAAACCTTTCACGACATGCTTCTTGCGAAAGCAACCGTTCGTAAGCTTTCGCAAGCGTTTTGAGCAAAAACTCTAAAATATTGGCGTATAAGACTATAAGACCTGTTTTATTAGCTAAAGATTTGGGAATCAATTTGGATTCGTACCTATCCTACGACGACCACATATCTAAACTCGTTTTGTCGTGTATGAGAAAACTATGTCAAATAAATCGCGTGAAGGATAGTTTCGATAATGAAACATTAAAATTGGTCATTGAGACACTTGTAATTAACAAGCTTCTGTACTGCTCTACGGTGTGGTCCAACACGTCATCTAACAATATCAATAAACTTCAATTAGTGCAGAACTTCGCGTGCAGAGTTATATCAGGGGTAGGAAAGTTCGATCACATAACTCCGGCGTTGCGCGAACTAAATTGGTTGCCAGTGGAAAAGTTATTATTGGAAAGGGATACTGTAATGGCTTACAAGTGTTTTAATGGACTTGCACCTGACTACCTAGTAGATAAATTTATAAAGCGTTCCGACATACATGATCGATCGACAAGAAACCATGACCTCTTGAACATCCCTCTGTATAAATCTGCTGCAGGTCAAAGAACATTTAATTACCGGGGTGTTAAAATATGGAATGACTTGGATGATAAACTAAAAAATATTACATCAATAACAATTTTTAAGAAAAAACTTAGGGAGATTTTACTAAAAGAATCCTATTAAATACATTTAATATTTCATACTCTTTGTACATATTTTAACTAATTTTAAATAAGTATATGTAACATAGGTAGTTTTAGAAGTAATTTATAGTAATTTTAAGATGTAATGTAGTGTTGAAAAGCCCTTAGGGGAACACGCAATAAAGTATCTATCTATCTATCTATCTATCTATCTATCTATCTATCTATCTATCTATCTATCTATCTATCTATCTATCTGTCTATCTATCTATCTGTCTATCTATCTATCTATCTATCTATCTATCTATCTATCTATCTATCTATCTATCTATATATCTATCCACCGGCTCAAGATTTGTCGAGCATTGAAATCAATACGGAAGATCCTGAAGTTAGGAAAGAGATATCAACATACGCCAATCAAAATAAGTTGACGGTGAAAGGTTTGAGGTCGGAAAGATTTCAACGATTCTCCAAATGGTCAACTTTAAGAATGGCACTAGCTACACGAAAAAACGAACAACTTCCTCCGGACACTCGAGAAACCATTCGACAAATCGCAACACAGCAATATTTATCCTTATCTGACCTAAGGTCAGAAGCAGAAAATCTTATGTTAAAAACAGTTCAGCAAGAAGTATACGAACAAGAAATACAAAGTTTGGAGGACCCAAGTAACACGACAACCCATAGCCAAACGACCTCAACACAGATAAAGAAATCTAGTTTGTACCGCCTACAACCCTTCTTGGATAATCAAGGAATATTGCGGGTCGGCGGAAGGCTGCGTCGCGGTCGTATGGAATATGTAGAGAAACACCCGGCAATTCTTCCTATATTCTCTCACCTTACCACCCTCGCAATTAGATATTACCACGAGACAGTTCACCATCAAGGCAAGCAAATCACACACGGGAGAATACGTGACGCAGTAATTTGGATCATGGGAGGAAGTCGACGGATATCGAGCTATATAAACCAGTGTATCACATGCAAGAAATTAAGAGGAAAACCCCAAACGCAACTCATGGCTGATCTACCCAAAGACAAATTGGAAACTCCACCTCCATTTACTAACGTAGGCTTCGACGTTTTTGGCCCATGGACAGTGCAAACGAGGAAGCTACGAGGCGGAGCATTGAATTCTAAAAGATGGGGTCTTGTCTTTACATGCCTCAATTGTAGAGCCATCCACATAGAGGTCCTTCAATCTGTGGATGCGAACTCGTTCATCTGCGCATTAAGGCGATTCTTCGCAATTCGAGGTCCCCCAGTGTTGTTGCGATGTGATCGGGGTACGAATTTCGTAGGAGGGAGATCGGAACTTAACGACGCCTTGAATTCAATGGATCGGGGGGCTATCAATCGCTGCGTTACTGATCAAAACTGTGAATGGCTGTTCAACCCGCCTCACGCCTCACACTTTGGAGGAGCCTGGGAACGGCAAATCGGTACTATCCGGCGAGTGTTAGAGGGAATGTTCTCCAGTCTCGGAAGCCATCAATTGACACATGAACTCCTTGTTACGCTCATGGCAGAAGTTACAGGCATTGTCAATTCGCGTCCCATCGCCATGATATCAGCCGATCCTGAGCAACCACAACCATTGAGTCCGAACTCGCTCCTTACAATGAAAACCAGACCACTTTTACCTCCACCTGGTGTATTCCTGCCGCAAGATTTGTACTCAAGACGATATTGGCGTCGTGCTCAATATTTAGCAGATCAATTTTGGTGTAGATGGAAACACGAGTACTTGCAATCTTTGCAAGCCAGACCGAAGTGGAATGAAGTCAAACCGAATCTCCAAGTAGATGATCTTGTAATAATGAACGATAATTCTCCACGCAACCAATGGCCTTTCGGCAGAGTAATAGCCATGAAGAGTGAGGACGGAAAGGTTCGAAAGGTAAAGCTAGTCACGGCGACATAAGGGGAGAAGAAGCATTACGTGCGACCTATCAAGGACCTGGTATTTATTATGCATGCTAATAAATAATCAGTTTATCATGACATTATTAATAGACGATTAGTGTATAGCAAGGACCTTATGATGTCCTTGGACGAGAGTGTGATGATACGTCATTTAGTATAGTTTTATGGGCTCTTACCCAGTCTACCAGACCTATATAAACACTCGGACGCAGAATTTGAGTCATATATTTGCAATCAATCGTTTGGAGTTCAATAAATAGTTTGGAGTTTACATTTACTGTAATTTAATCGTTTTGGAGTTAACTGTTGGAGATATCGGACTATTGGAGTATATAAGTTTACTATCCCGCAAGGACGTAAGTGAATACTTTAGTTTATATGTACTATGTGTTATGTTTCGTAATCGATTTGTGTAAATAGCTTAAGATATTTTTTGCTATGTTATGTAGTTTTTACCGTTGGTATGAAGACTAAACTTTGTACTGGCGGTTAGCTGTGCTAATTTATGGAGACGTAACACCAAGCCTTGCAGAACGCCCGAACAAAATTTCGTTCCAAGGCCACCTCGGTTCACAGTTTGCACCTAACCTTCCAAATTGCTAAGTAGGGTACTCCAGCAAATGTTTGAAGAGAAAATATTGGGTGGTATTTAGTATGGCAAACGCAGATTTCAAACACTCAATAATAATTCATAAGATTATTGGCAAATCATGTCAACCATAATATGTTACGTGCAGTGGCTTTAAACCTGATAAAACGCTCCTCATTAGTATTCGTTATATAAAGAATACTAATACTCGTGTCCTCATTAGTATTCTTTATATAAAGATACCAATAAGGCAGTATATCTATTGAATTTGTATAGTCGTGTTTGAAGCCGTTTAATAAACTCGCAGGTCGTGTTTTACTTAGGTCTAAAGCCACTCGCGCTCCGCGCTCGTGACTTTAAAGCTAATAAAATACTCCTGCTCGGTTATTAAACAGTACATTATACGTTGCTTTTTTAATACCAACTCAAGCTAACAAGGGGGAATTTCGTTCTTGACCAATCAGCGCATTTGTTGACAATTTCGCTCTAAGCCAATCAGAATGTGTAATTGGTTATTGTAGGTAGTTTCCCTGCGAGCACAGAAAACGTGGTTCCGGTAAAAACATTCAATTGAACAGAAAATCTAGGGTCTAAGGGGGGCAGGATTTTTAGATTCCACATGACAAGGTAAAATAAGAAATTTTCTAGAAATTTGCCGCTGGGATTTGCGTTGTATTGCCTAGTTCTAAAATTATCGCCATTCGAACTTACGCGCTTTTTATACGCTGCTGTTCGAATGCCGATAACTTTAAAACTTGGCAAAAAACGCATATAACAGTGGCAAATTTTTAGGGAATTTCTTGTTTTACCTTGTCACGTTAAATCCAATCAAAAAATTAAAAATCCTGACCCCCTCGGAGCTTTATTTAAGACCCTATATTTTCTGTTCAAATATGTGTTTTTTACCGGAAGTAGTAAGCAATTATGGATTCTGATTGGTTTAGAGCGAAAATGTCAACAAATGCATCGATTGGTCGAGAATGAAACTCCTCCTTGTTCCTCATGCAAGGTTGTACGGGTGACGCCTGTGTCGACCGAACACAACGTCGAATTACTAGAACTATTTTTGGTCTTATGCAATGTGACGTACGGTATATAATAATTGGCAATGATACCTGTTCTCAAAGTATTTACAAAAGATGAAAACTTACTTGGTCGACTTGTGAGAAATATCTTGACTCTATTATTTGAATAATAGTATCCCTGAAATTGTATTTCTACAATGACAGCGCTACTTTGCCAGTCCATGATAAAATGTTGAGACGCATTATTTCTGGTGATATCAAATAGGAGCTCGGAGGAATTATAGTCGCGAATCCGTAAGATGATATTAGTGGCCTCTGAGACAAAACCTGAGAGAACATTATCTGGAGAGGTTGCAAACACCTATAAAGTAAACGACATTTTACATTGGTGTATATCCCAAAGTTCCTGTAAAAGCAATCTCAGACAATTGAAATATCATTCATGAATTTACACACTATACTATAAGGGGGATACAACACGCGCAATTTGACTAAATAGCTAGATATTAAGCGTGTGTCATGCACTGTCTGGTTTTTCAATTTTCTCGCCATATCTTGCACACTTGCGGTTTTAGATCATCAGCAGATATATGAAAATTATTACAAACATCAATATTTTCCACTCCCTCCACGAAATTTATTGGACGCATTGACAATGCTCTCCTGAACATTGCAATTTGTTACTTTTGTGTTGAACTCTTGTTACCATGGCAACAGCGTGCTTAGAATAAAGGTCAAAATTTGTCTTTTTCCAGCCATTTTAAAAAGGAGAGGTTGCAAACACGAAGCTGTTTTAGCTGACGAGTTTTTGCTTTCTATTCAAACGATTTACAAATTAACGGTTATGCTTTTAACAATCGATCATGGATTCCTTGTTTTGGTATATATTTTGCAATCGAGTGACTGGAAAAAGTGAATATGGCGACGTGAACATGGGTGCAAATACCGTATATATACCGCGTTGAGGAATGGCTTGCTTAAAACCGTAATCAAATGTTCCATCTCATGTTTCTTAATGTAACTTCAACGGCCTAAGTCAAAATACAAGTTCGCAAAATTCGACAAATTTTGAAAATATGTTAAAATAGCTTGAAAAAAAAAATATCCCGTGGCCTGTATTTCAAATACAGCTAAATGAAAGTAAAACCTTTTTGGCGTTTGAAGGTGTCAAACATATCGTCAGGAAAATAGGGGCTCATGATGTTTGAGCCAAGTCTGTGAGACCCAGTTGCACGGTGAACTTCCTTCATCAAAACCGCCTCGATAAGGGTCTAGTTTGAAAATTTACCAGCCTTTAATTTCGATTTCATCAGCATATTTTAGTTAGACGTTAAATATTTTTTGTACTTGATGAGATTCAAAATTTGTTGTATATTCAAGCCCGACTTCAGTGTAATTTTGGTGATGACTAGAAAAGAAATGAAGATATTTTAAAAACTGGCCGTGACCTCACGATAAAACTTTCTAAAATTGTTCTGTTTCGAACTTTGTCGTTTTTTCGCCAATCTGTAAAACGCCCTGCAACATGAAATATTTGTATCTTCGCAGTCAATATTGCATTAAAAATTAAATATAAATGTAAATATGTTTATTAAGTTTCTGACATTGCAACCAAAGGTTGAAATACGTCGAAATTAAATTAATATTACAGGTGATTATAATTTATGTATGACTAATTATTTTTACAAGAAATATTAATTAGCGACGGTCGGGCAAACTAGCACTGCCCCCCCCAAAAAAAAAGATTAGGCCCGTACGCCCATGTAATAATGTCTATAAAAAGTGTCACTATACTATTAAATATCTATGATAGGAAGTTTTTACATGCAATTGAGTTTTTAAACCGGTTTGTTCTACATCTATAAGGAATTAATTTATTTTGGTACCTCAGATCATAATTAAAGTTGTGTTCATATTGAACGAGTTCAGGGTATATTGTCTCGGACAATATATCCGATCCGTCTGTTGTAACAGTGGCGTAGCTAGCCAGCTCGATAATTTGGGGGCTTTAGCGGAGGTACGTTTGGTTTATTTTCCCCAAAACAAACCAAAAGTTCCTTACATTTCTTAATATTCAACAACATATCGTTTTCCCCGCACCACTGGTTAATACGGTCCAAAATAGATTGTAACGAAGATGGTTGGTCTCTAGTGAGGGTTTCTGATAGTGTAGAATCATCGACATATTTCCATCGATCACGATAATTCGTTAGCAGGTCGTTTATCATTATGAGGAACAATAAAGGCCCCAAGACTGTTCCCTGAGGGACACCTCCATTTACTGGTTCCAAACCAATCTCGTACCCAGAGCCATCGTTGAGTGGCTCTGGCCACACGGGATTGAAAAACGATCCTGATTGGTCGATCCATAAGTTATTGAACCCATACCCCCTGTGGCGTGCACGAGCGCGGCCAATATGAGTGAATACGATATATTTTGCTTTATTTGGCCTGAAATTGACGAATGTTTTGTTGCTTTTCGTCCGAAAAAGTGGTGAAAGGATTAAGGAGTTGATTTATGCATATTTTAATTCATTTGGGCAAAATAACAGCCTTCGTTATGGTAATAATTCATACTCTTGGTTCACCCTGAGTGAGTATTGATGGTAATGATGGCATATGTCCTTGATCTACTATATTGGAGTGTTATTATTGAAAAGAACTTCAAGCGTACAAGACTTACAAGCGTACACGTATGCTAGGACTGTGTTTATACAAGATTTGGGATTTTTTAATTGAACTGTAAATGTATGAATCATGGTCTGAATGTAACAATTAAACAGCATTTGGATTCTTTTGCAGACTTTGCAACTTGTCAACTCGTTTGATAGAATTGTTTGATGATACAATATATTGTTTCTGTTTACAGTATTGCCTGTACAACTCTGTCAGAAACATTGGTGTTAGTAGCCAAAAAAGGTTTCATTAAAGGCCATGTAAAGTATGTAATGTAAACAAACCCTTTGTTTACATTCTGAACCCAGTGCTATAGTTGTAATATATTAGATATGTATTATACTGAATTTTTAACTCTTCTGGTTTGCTATGCTTGTAAATGAATACAGACTAGAGATTCAATTCAATTCAAGAAAGTTTGGAAGGTGGGAAATATTAATAACATTCCAATGGTTGGGTCCCGACCATTGGAGTGTAGGCCTGCAGAATGCATGCGCAGAACAGACTTTACATGGTCTTTAAGAATAGCAGTATGTACTACGTGCAGCATGTAATAATATTAAACCGTCTACACAATTTATACAATGGTGCCAATAAAACTGGTAAATAAATGATTGTCAACTATTCCACAGTCTTGCTGTGCTGAGCTGAGTGGTTATATAGTAATACTATCTGAAAAAAAAACAAGCAGAAACTCAACGTTGGTTACTAACTCTTGACGAAGGGCCTTCGCTTGAAACATTGAATAATTTTCTGCTTGTTTTTTTCAGGGAGTACTATATATAGATATATGATGTTCATTCTTGTAATGGACAACTGAGTGTGCAACAATTAACAATTGTATTTGAAGTCCAATGCTCAACAAAAACAACTTTACCTTTTCAGAATAAGACTATTAAAACCAAATTTTAGGTTTATTAGTGAACTATCATATAACTTCATACATCTTTAACAATTTTAGGACTGCTAAAAGTAGGGATGCAGGCAAAAGCCCAGCTCAAAAGGGGCCTCCAAAGCACAAAGAATTGTGTCAGTGCCAGATAATATGCAATAAAGTGTAATATATTGTAAAACACCTCTTCTCCCATTTAATAATTATGATGTCATAGGGACCCCTGGGAAAACTTAATGATGTCAAATGGTTCCCCTGGTACCCATAAAATGAATTGCAAGTTCTGAAAAACCTTTATTGATTTCAGTAATGTGTCATTCTACACATCAACCTATCAAGCAATACAAGCATGAAAGTATAAATTATATTACACTTATTCAAACAGGACATTGTTATTAGTCAGGCCAGGTGTGATTCTTGATTCGTTAACCAGTAACTACTTTTTATCACATAATTAATGAGCAATGCACTTCTCCAACGATACTATTCCATTCTTGAGTATTTCATTATCTTAGACTCTTCATTATAATGCAACATGCCAAGTTGTTTACTGATCCAGAATACAGGACTGTATAATTTTAACTTGAGACTGATTTCTCCATTGTTTCTGGAGGTATTAGCATAATAAAAAGATTATCACATTTACAGTCCCAGGTGTATCTGAAAGAAATGTAAAACTAAAGCTATAAAATAGTCAAGTTAAGTAAAAAAATAAACACACACTGGTATACTGCTACAGGCTTTTGCTCAATTGCTACAGCAGTACAGGCCTTCCTTATTGAGAAAAAATCTTTATTTTATCATTGTGTAAAGAATAACATTATGGTTTTAAATTCCTTGGGTATGATAGATTCATAATATAATAATGCATGTATAATAGTATTAAATAAATAGTTAAATACTGGGTATGATCAGCTCACAGGATGCTATAGAATTTCTGAAAATCTGCTGCATTTTTAGGGGGTACACAATATATTTTGTGGTATTCTAACTAGACTACAATTAGGATGGAAATTCAGAGCCCAAGGTTCAAAAATTAACCTTGAAACAAAATAATGATGACATGAACAATATAAATTGTAACAAATTAAAGAATTATTAAAGGCAACCAAGGCAGTGTGCAACAAGCAACGCTCTTGCTCAAGAATAGCCTATTATAATAAAGCTGAGAGTTATTAAATTACTTTTATATAACAAATAATTAAACGTACTTATACCTTAAGAAGAAATCGGAACATTTTGAAGGAAATAGAAGCCATTTGAGACAAAATAAATGATCGATGACTCCATGAGTGTTGACATGTGTACAAGCCGGTGTTTCAATCATCTCAAATTACTTGTTAAACGGAAATCACACGTGCACTCAGTATCCTTGTTGTTCACACTAACTGCGCCGAACAAATTTTAATGCTTTTGACGGGAAAAATTGCGATTTTATTGATATTTTCAGCAAAAAGTTAGCTCTCCACTCCTCTTGAAAATACTATGGCGCGCGCGAATTCCCGGAGAATGGGTACGAAATAGTTAATTGGAAAATACTGTACTTTTACCGTATTTTCTAATTAACTCAACTCGTGTGGCCAGAGCCACTCAACGATGGCTCTGGGTACGAGATTGGTTCCAAACTAGAAAAACATTTCGCCCTATTCTTACTCGCTGCTTTCGTCCAGTAAGGAAGTTTCTTACCCATGCTATAAGGGTTGGGTCTATTTCCATTTCTTCCATTTTCGTAATCAGGATCTGGTGGTTTATCCTATCGAATGCTTTACTGAAGTCCAGACAGAATTCGTATACATTTATCGGGTTTCTCAGAAAGAGATGGTGGAAAAGGGACACAAGTGCATGAATTGTGGATCGTCCTCGTAAGGCTCCGAATTGTCTTCGATCAATGAGATGGTTAATCTGTGCCATAATCCATTTAACTACAAAATGTTCCATGGTCTTTGAAAGAATTGGGGTAAGTGAAATGGGTCGTAAGTCATTTTCAGCTTCTTTGATTATATTTTTCTTCGGGATTGGGAGCCCTTCAGCTTTTTTCAATAGATCAGGAACTACAGTCTCCCGAAAATGAAGTAAAGATTTCAGCAACTGGTGACGAAATCTCAAGAGCAAAATCTTTTAAGATCCAGCTTGGTATATTGTCAGGACCTGATGCTTTCCCCTTTTTTAGACTTGAAAGTTCCTTGTAAACATCTTGAGCAGATATATAGTATTTCGTTAGGTTGTAGTCTACAAAATTTGTTTCGTTATTTTCCAACTCGGATAAAGGGGCCATGGAATTTGTAGTGGAGAGAAAACTTTGGTTAATATGAGTTGCTAATTGGGTCCCTCGAATTTGCTCTCCTGACACAGTCATACTTGATACGATCGTATTTGTTGAGCGACCAGCAAATTGATTAATAGACTTCCACCAGAGCGCTGAATTATCGCAGTTTTTAACTTTCCTTTCGAAAAAAAAGCTCCGTAATCTATTGTTAAGTTTATCCCTTGATCTCTTGAAGGTTGCTTACCAATTAGACGGTGTAAAACCAAAACGACGCTACCTATGTGTTTGAGAAATTTGCCACTAATTGAGTTACCATCATCAAATATGCAGAAAAATAAACAAAGTAAGCTTCCCAATAAGAAGAAGGTTTACTCGAAGCGATACAGGCATGGCTATTATGCAAAACGACAAATCAATACTCAATCCCAACGTGGCATATCTAAAACCACCGATCGGATTCCACTCGATGCTGTGAGTGAAATTCCCAAGCATCGAGGGAACCATCAGACATCACTCCATTCCGCTCACCTGACAAATTTTCGACGGCGCCGTTTAAATTATCGGCCTCAGCCAAATCACCCCCCTTACCCAAACCTTCGATACGATCAAAATTACCGGTCCCATCAGAATCATCGACCTCATCGAAATTTCCAGCCCAACCATCAACCACAACAAAATCAGAAAGATTAGTTGAATTACCTAGAATTTGTTCATGGGATGATAAGAAAAAGAACTTAGCTATTCCTGTTAGAATTACACAGAGACAGAATTACCACCACTGTAATTCTAATAATACTTCAAACATTAACTCAAAGAGACGAAGTAACTTGGTACCTATTCAGGGGCGTAGCCAAGGGGGGGGGCAAGGGGGTCGCCCCCGCAAAAAAACTATTCTCTGAAAAAAGGCTAAATCCGTAGAGAAATGGGGGGGGGGTACACGTTACATCCTCGAAGCTGAAACGGATTAAGTACGTCTCGACTGAGGAAAACGACGAAATACTGGAATAACTTGATTTCTAAAATCTCGTTAAAACAGTTGTAGATATGGTTCCAAGAGGAATAGATTTAGTTTAGATTTACATGTATATGCATTATGATAACATGAATATTCTTCTCAGACTTATTCTGTATCATATCTAAAAGCGAGTAGAAACTTAGAAATGCCTGGGAAAATTTATGTCATCGACGTACTTTATAATCTTCGGGATTCTGCAAGATTTCACCCCCAAAATGCTTGAAATCACATTTCAGGGACTCTAAATTTTAAAATTTTCCCTGGGTGCATGCCCCCGAACCCCCCTAGAGCGTACTTTATAATCTTCGGAATTCTGGAAGATTTCACCCCCAAAATGCTTGAAATCACATTTCAGGGACTCTAAATTTCAAAATTTTCACGGGGGTGCATGCCCCCGGACCTCCATAGATGGTCTCGCGCCTTCGGCGTTTGCTTCGCCCCCCCCAAAAAAAATGAAGGTCTGGCTACGCCACTGTATAGGAAGTATCAAGAGCAACATTTGGACATATCCTGCAGATATGCTCGAGTTTCCCGATTGATTGTTTGTCATTGACATTGTTAACAAAAATTTAAATTTCGCCTACTGCTTTAGCACTTTATATACACCGATTGTTTGCTGAACATGCGAGAAGATGATCACAATATTATTCTACGTAAACATCGTGAAGTTCAACGCTATACTTTCCAAAATATATCCACGCAAGTAAACAAATTTCAAGTTTCAACCCAAACAATATATTCCAATGCATGTCAAGGGCTTTCCCCAGTAGCTAATCTCTCAATAAGGCGGCTTCCAATTGGCTCTAACTTTTTTGAACACTGCCAAATGATTGGCTCCTAAGACAAAAGGAATTGAATATGCACCTCGGGTAAGCAGACGGTAGTATTTCGTCGCTTGGAGTAAGAACTACAACGTCTGTGAGCAGGCTAGGTATTTTGCTAAAATTGCTTGTTTTTCACCTTAATTTTCTCATACATACAGGTTGTGCCAATGAAATGTGATTAGATATTCAGAACATGTGCTTTTTTTCTAGTTTTTGCTAATAGAATGTAAACTCGCCTAAAATATGAAGAAAGTACTGAATTTTGGAAAATTTCATGTGAAAGTGTAATTTATACGAAAAACGCGACTAAGAAAATGAGCATCGGAGTAATCTTATTCTGCTATAAGGGAGCGGTCATAAAGTGCTACCCCGGGGTGGAGGATATTGGGATGGGGTATGAAATTTTTTTCAGGGATCTGGGTGGAATATGAAACGAATTTATCACTTTAAAGAGAGGGTATGAAACAAAATTTGTTTGTTTTAATACATCACTGCCATTGTTGTCTCATAAAAGATTTGACCATTGCTCAAGTAGTTTCAACAGCTCAAATCTGTATCTCCGAAGTTAACCGGGGCACATGAACTATCGAACATGTTAGATATATCATTTATAAATAAGTTGAAGAGTGTCGGATGACAACAATGACAGTGTCACAGTGATGATGGTAAAATCAGTGATGTTGAAAATGTTTTGGATTGTTTATATGGGGAGACAGGTCAGTTTCAGTTGTATATCTTTTCATATGGTACAAAAATGCCAGCTTGTAAGAAAAATAGTGGTGTTTATGGACATCTGAGATATGCTTAAAAGTATGTTTTTTGAATGTAAAAGACCCAATGTCACCCAAAAATATCACATCCAAAATGTTTTTTATCTCTTTACATAAAATAACCAAAATGGGTAAAATATTAGCAATATTCGCCATTTTTTGACAGGTGGTCGTATTCAATGGGGTCAAAAAACAGCACTGATTTTGGATGTGAATTTTACTTTCTTTTTCATTTTTAGTAAAGAAAGATAAAACTTACTTAAAATAAAACTTATAGGATAATAGCAATTAGTCAACAGAATTTCTGAGGGGTGTGCCCTATCAGCGCACACCCGTCATATCAACATGAAAACCCCCCGTAAACTTGTAGTTTTATGATGGGGTATGAAACATTGAGACCGTTATCTTGATGGGGTACCAAATATTATCTGACAATTTTGTGGGGGTATGAAATTTTGTTCACAAAATTAAAAATATCCTCCGCCCTGGGGTAGCACTTACTTTATGACCACTCCCTAATAGTTTTAAAATAATATTTTTAGGTTTTCAACGTATTTAAAATACAGATACACATAGCAATCAGATTTTTCTATGACCCTCATTTCGAAGCGTAAACTTTGTTGGGTTTTTTTAACACAATTTTCGCTCGTTCAAAATTCTATAAACACAACTTTTTTCATGTTACAGGTTGTGCCAACGACATATCGCTGTTTTACATTAAACTTCAAAACATTTTAAAATCGGTGTTAAATTTCTTGGCTTTGTAAAAAATGAAGAAGTATTAGTATTTTCGGTTCGAATATCACATTTTATTGAAGCTATCAGACGACATTTTAAAAGGAAATGTTTTGTTTTGTTTTGCACTCAAATAATCGATATTTATAGTTTACATTGTAAAATATGTGGCAATAGAGGAAATTAAAGTATTACTGCAACGTTTTTTGTCAGTGAATCCGAGATTTTTTTTGCGATTTGTGGGCCTAAACAGCCGCTGCAAAATTGTCTTTCGAAGGCTTCGTCCATGTTGTTTATGTTTTTTAAATCAACCAAGTGGAAGCACGCATATCTTCTTCTCCCGCTGAAAACCCGAGCAGTTTTCGCGCATGTTCAGTCAATTTTCCCACCTGTTGGCTGTCTTAATTTCGCGCATCTTGAAGAGGACTAATGCAATAGGAAACGACATTTAAATCACGGTACTTACTTTCAATAAACATAAATAATTTTATATACACATTTTATGATTGGTTAGTAAAACCTGAAACAAAATTGATTAGTATTAAACAGAGTATTAATGGAATAATGATTCTCAGGGCTGTAGTATAGTCGTGACCATAGAAATGAATGCATATAGACCCCTCGCATTGCTAACCAAGCAACTATATAGAAACATGAAGTGGTTGCCATGGTGACATGGTGTCACAGCATATGTACCATGAAGTCTTGCAACATAGGTACCATGGAGTCTTGGAACAAAAACAAACGGTGAATGCGCTGTATAATGTATCAACTTCATGTTTGCCTGAAGCCAAATATGAACCCCAGACACTCCTGCCTGGGGTTCATATTTGGGGGGGGGGGGCAGGATAATTTGCAGGATAATTTGTTGCGAGTCCATTTTAACTTAATGCCTGACAGATACATCTGTTAGAAATATTAGAAGAAATATAGGTAGACTCGGGCCATTTATACGAGCGAAAATAAGCCGCGGCTTAAATAGGCCTAAGTCGCGAACAACTCGTATAAACAGTCAATTTGCAGTAAGCCGCGACGAAGTTAGGCCTAGCTTTCAACTCTGGGCTTATTTTAGCCGCGGCTTATTGCAAATTGACTGTTTATACGAGTCGTTCGCGAGTTATTTATTTAAGCCGCGGCTTATTTAGGTCGCAACTTATTTTCGTTCGTATAAATGGCCCGCCCTATTGTGCCGGTGTGACGCGAAATTCCTGACTTGCGAAATATCTGACTATTGTAGAACTGCCAATGCGCAGACGATGCGCATGGATGACTTTGGCTCATAAATTTCGCAACTCAACAGACAACACGTGTATTCATAAAGTCATTTTATTTATACATAAATTTTCAAATATCAGTTCTACAATTAATCAACTGAATTGACTCTATACCACTGATTGTGAACGTTAGCGTTCAGCGACAATAAAGCTTAAATCGCAGATGTGGAAAAAGTCACTCGAAGAGCGCTCTTAGTGATATAAAATAGATTCCAGTTTCAAAGGTTATGCTATATGCATTACCATAAGCACCAAAAATCGTTTCGCGTTTGACCTTCTCAATTCTCACTATTTAGTAAGCACGCAGCAACAATGAGTTCGTGACTTGGCCGTTTAGATTTGGCGATGTCTGTATTAGAAACATTTGGTACCATCGCATATGGAGTGTTTGTGATTGAAACTTAGCGATGTCGATTTGAAAAAAAAAACCAATTTTGGCCGACTTAGAATTTAGCAAACGTCATGTATTTCGTGCCTGTACGCGCGAAATTTCTGACCCGTTACGCTTGGTCAGGTATTTCGTAAAGGTCAGGAATTTCGCTTGACACCGGAATCCGCACTGAGCACTTAAGATTCTTAGGGGGGAGTTCGGGCCATTCTCCTGGGAATAACAAATTTCGGCATTCTGGGAAATTTATTGATTTATTAATTTCTGGAAATTTTTGAAATTTATTAATTAACTTATTTATTTATTAATTTATTAATTTCTGGGAATAAAAAATTGCTGCATTCTGACTATTTGACAGTAATATCTGTGCATATCGAACTCTACATCTAGAATTCTTTCTTGCAAATATATTTGCACGAATTTTTTTTATTGCTACTGATACAAGTTATTGCACTGAAATAAGTTCCATTGTATTCAGAAAGGGCCAACTTAGATTTAACAAATATAAAACATTTTGACATTGAGTTATATCAACACGGCTCTTAGCCAATCAGCGTTCAGAATTTACAAGTGCTATATTATAATATGATATACAGCTATTTCAATTAAGGTTGTCCACGAGCAAAGCGGAAAAGTCGAATACGAGCGCGAAAGGCTGCTGGGAACCGCTTTGAAAATTAATTAATTTGTTAGCGATTCCCAGCAGCCTTTCGCGCTCGTATACGACTTTTCCGCTTTGCTCGTGGACAACCTTAATTGAAATAGCTGTATAACATATATAACATATATAACATGTTATAATATAGTCATTCACCGTATATGAGCTGTTCTGCAATCTGATTGGTCGAATTACTCGCCGTATATCAGTTTTTTAGCAAGATGGCGGTCCAAAAACTACACGAGTTTTGCGAAGCAGAAAAAATGAAAATATTCGCTTTGAGAAAGATAATAGTACAAGTAGACCATGGGGCGAAATTTGTAAACAGCTTAGAAATTGAAATTCGTTCCTGAATCATGAAACCAATCAAAACTCGGTCAATAGGTGCAAGAATATATACTAAGAGTAAATACACAAATTTGTTCAAAAATTTCCTTTGCAAAATCATCAAATTCACGCGACTTTTCGGTATAAACAAAAACCGTCCGCCATCTTGGATTACAAGGCTCCACTTAGATACTTCATGTTATTTTGGCCCCTGTGACAGGATACTTCATGTAATTTAACGTTATTTTTAATCAGGTAACATTTGCAAAATTGAATAAACACGCTAATCGTCGAAAATTTAAGGCGTACTGGAAAATTTCGTAAATAATATATATTCTTTTAATCATATCGTTTATAATTTCTTTCAATTTCTCAAGTAATCAAGAAGCGCGAATATGCACGCGCGATGGTACACAGGCATGTTCACTATTAGGATATGTTTATGTAATATGTATTATTTTTAAAAATCCCCAAAAGTAGAAAAAGGAAAATCGGTTCATGTAAGTATAGACATCACTACGGCATAAAATGGAAGGGACTGTTCATTACACCGCCACGAAACCGAAAACGTTCACCACACCAGCAGGGACCTTTCATGTAATAATCTTTATATAGACATCACGGATGAGAAAGAAGGAACTGTTTATTTTTTGTGATAAAACATCATATACTAAAGGGTGGCAAATCCAAGTCATCCTCAACGGCGCTGATTTGAGATGAATCATCGGGTACTTCGGTTTCGTTGTCATCTTTCCCATTCCCACAGTCCTTGCATCTGCACATGTCTGTACATAACAATTTGTTCGTTAAACATGAACAGCCACCCTTAATGCACTTGGTAGTCTTACAGCCACATTTAACAACCTTCAGTAGACATTCTGGAGCCGCAGGTTTGGTCTTCCACACAACATCAATAACACCGTCTTTGACAGACCAGCTGTAGCCGTCAGGAGACGGAGCATCTATGGTTGAATAGTTCAACTGGTACCATATTAGTCTTAATTAGGTCTTTACTTCTAGGGGACCATTTGCTCTGCTCTGGCTGGACATTGTTTATTTTGTTCTTCAAATAAACACCTTTAAAATGGAAAAATGTCCCTCTGTTGTAAAGTTGTAATGAGTATTGTATAGGATTATACGTTTGAGGGAAGGACAAATAAATTTGAATAATTTCGTAATTTATACATTAATTTTGTACCCATTTATACATTTCGTTTGTCGAGTCAAATACAAACAATGAATTCATGCAACAAATTTGATGGGCTAACCAAATAAGCTTGTAACAAACTAAACCAAATAACAAACTGTCCAAATATTGCTGTATATTTGTACTCCTTAGAATAATACACCACTAAAAAATCTAAAAATTCTAACCTGACATAAACAATTCTTTAAATGTATTTTCAGAACTGCCTTCCTGACTTGTTTGATGCCTGTCAATTCTACTACTTCTAATCTCATTTTCTAAAACTTCTGAGGAGTCATTTTCATCACTTTCATCTTCAACACTAGAAACTTGACTTGTAGGCAAGTACTGCTGTGCTATGTCACCAGCTGTTACATTTTGACAATATACAATTGTGGATTCATTCCTAAAAGAATACGGTATTATCAGTACAGGCATGTTAATTGTCAAAAACATATATAATTTTAGTTCTATTTGAGTGTATAGCACTGATCATAATGTTTTCACACTTATAAACGAAAAACACTGAGTGATTTACAAACCTTCTTGATGGAATGTGAAACACAAGTTGCTCAAAATCCTTTTGTAATCTCACTCTCAACATATCAGATCTTAAAGAGAAAAAATGGGTAATTATCCAACTAAGACAATCAAGAGATGTGACATTTTTACAAAAAAATGTTTCTAAAATAATAAATTAATGCATATAATGATATATAAGCCCATAACGTATGTTTTCTAGGTGCACACGTTCTTCAAGCTGTATATGTTTGAGAAGTAGTTGCTGCAATTTCGTCAAGCGCAGAATCTCACAATTCACTTCTAACCTTTCTTTGATCACTATTTTACAGAAAGCATCATAACCTGCTTTGTGCTCAGAAAAGAAGTTTGTTTTCCTAAAACGTAACATGTAACCATAAGGGACGGACCATTAGAAAAGTGATAAGTGATGGGGGGGGGGGATTTTCTAAGAGGCAATATTTTTTTTTGTACACCTATAGAATAAATTTTTTTTTCTCACTTGATGGCTGGAAAATGTACTTTATTTCCTATTTGTATTGTTAATTTTCAAGTGAAGGTAAACAACAACAAAGACATCTGAAACATTATCTACAAAAATTAACTATAAAAGTCAAAACTTACTTTTCACCAACAGAGTCATTTCCTTTTAAAACACGGACATAATCATTGTAGCAGCTCTTGTGGTACTGGACCTCAATACATGAACAGTCTTTTCCTCTAATGTCCTTCAAGATAGTTTCGTCATCTATCCTTTCAGCAGCACTACGAAGCAGGCCTAAAAAGTGGGAAAATGTGTGCCTTTGAAAATGTGTGCCTAAAAAGTTGGGAAATGTGTGCCTTTGAAAATGTGTGCCTAAAAAGTGGGAAAATGTGTGCACTAGTGTGCCTTTGATAGACTACACTTGATAAGTTGACTATAAATCATTATATTTTAAGCAGAAAATAACCAACGTGATACGAATACACACATACTGAACATCCCTTCTACTTTGGGCTTTTTATCTCAATCTTACCTGCATCTGATGTTTCTGCTTTAGACAATGATTCATGCACCCACTTTCCCTTAATCTTAGTCCTTTTAGTTAGCTTTTTGCAAATAATACACAACTTGGGTAGAATTGTATGTGGTTGTTGGGATATCTTTGGGACCTCGCTTCGGAGAAATGGCATTTTGGGTTTTGATGGTGGTACAGCTGGTTCTTCTTCCATTTTCCTTTTTCTCTCTAAAGTTCTCCTTGCCTGCATATAGAAATAAATAATCTACTATCTAACACAATGGCACATATATATAACTACAAAATACTACTACAAAAAAAAGGCTATTACGGTATTGCATAACATTTTAGCATAGCTTTTTAATACTTTATAAGAAATACATTTAAACAAATTTAATATAACTAATGCAAATAATACTCCCATAATTTCCAAAAAAAAGTATAATATTACAAATTACAATATGCTGTAAAATTAAATTGACAAACTTACCTTGTTTATAATAGATATATTAGTAAATTTTTTATAGCACTCCTCGTGGAATCCAAAATCTGGATAATGTTGTTTGGCATCTTCCAACCGAATCAGGCCACTATTTATATCAACGAAATCGGTCAATCCTTTTCTTTCCAAAATGAGCAATGTCAAGTTGTTTTCCGTATAAACCTTTCCAATCTTCGATTCGTTTTACTAATGTCTCTAACTTCTTACTTGTTAGCGGTTTAATATCGCACTTTGCACATCAACAATATGTAAATAACACTTGTTATTCAAATAAGGCAAAATTTGGGCAGAAGTTGATAAGAAGTTGAAGCCGCCATGTTGTTTCTAACCCTATCAACATTACACCCCTATTATCCCGTCAAAATCTTGATATGTTCCCTGTTAAACCCCCATTATCCCCGAAGCTGTAAAAAGGGTCAAAAAGATAAAATTTTCACATTTTGCAAATGAAATTTTGGAACAAATATTTGATTTTATATTTATCATACTGTGATCTAACTAAATAACTAAAGTTTAGGTAGTTTCGTTATTCAAACTGAAAGATAGCAATTTCGCCCAATGGTCTAAAGGAAAAACTCTCAAAAATATTTGACAGGTTAGCAAAATACATTTATTACATAGAAATTAGTTAAATACAAGTTTTTTAAAGAATTGATACCGAGAAATATATTAATTGTTCAGAAAAGTTTGCAACGAAAGACAAATGAATTTGCAGTCAACAAGCACTTACTTAGACTGCGAGCAGTCCCTCCTTTCCGCATGCAGGTTTAGATTTCTAGCACTTACTATACCAAACATCTGTATAATATATCTGAGCGTTTCTGTGAGATATACCGGTTCTAAAACCATTTTTTTCAATTCGTCTTCGAGTTGTAAAACAAAAGTATTTCAAATTTTAAAGGCCAAGCGGTTTTTGGCCGAACAAATTGTCAAGACATTGTAACAGAGGATAATTAATTATTGCTTCAGTTACTGGCTATTAGACTATATTATAAAACAATTATACCATTCGCTCTCGTCGTACATGGCTGCATGATAGCCGACTCGGTGCTACCATAAATATATTCATAGATATTTTAATGGTAGTGATACTTTTTATAGACATTATTATGAATTCATTATCTTAAATCTTAATTAATTGTTGTAAAAATAATTAGTCATACATAAATTATAATCACCTGTAATATTAATTATTATTATAAGTATTTCAATCTTTGGTTGCAATGTCAGAAACTTAATAAACACATTTACATTTAATTTTCCGTATTGACTGCGAAGATACAAATATTTCATGTTGCAGGGCGTTTTACAAATTGGCGAAAAAAGGACAAAATTCGAAACAGAGAACAATTTTAGAAAGTTTTTTCGTGACGTCACGGCCAGTTTTTAAAATATCTTCATTTCTTTTATAGTCATCACCAAAATTACACTGAAGTCGGGCTTGAATATACAACAAATTTTGAATCTCATCAAGTATACAAAAAATAAATAACGTCTAACTAAAATATGCTGATGAAATCGAAATTAAGGGCTCTATTTTCAAGCTAGACCCTTAAATAAATAAATTAATTAATAAATTTCTAAAAATTTCCAGAAATTAATAAATTAGTAAATTTCCCAGAATGCAGGAATTTGTTATTCCCAGGAGAATGGCCCCAAACTCCCCCCACCCCCCCACCCCTAAAGATCTTAAATGCTCAGTGCGGATTGAAACTATTATTTAAACGGACAGACTACCGGCACGATGACACGATCTACCTATATCTTTTCTAATATTTCTAACAGCAACAAATTATCCTGCAAGCATGTCGGGGCAAAAAATATCCCGTACAGCCTCGAGCGTAAAAATATCTTGTACAAGCAAAATTGCCCCCCCCCCCCCCTCCTTTCCCAAATATGAACCCCAGGCAGGGGTGTCTGGGGTTCATTTTTGGCTTCAGGCAAACATGAAGTTGATACATTTATTCAGCGCATTCACTGTCAAAATCGGTGCAGGCTGTTTTTGTTCAAGACTCCATGGTACCAATATGCTGTGACACCATGTTACCATGGCAACCACTTTATGTTTCTATATAGTTGCTTGGTTAGCAATGCGAGGGGTTTCTATATGCATGTATTTCTATGGTCACGACTATACTTAGCCCTGAGAATCATTATTCCATTAATACTCTGAACACTGATCAATTTTGTTTCAGAAAACCAATCATAAAATGTGTATATAAAATTATTTATGTTTATAGGTACGTACTATTGAAAGTAAGTACCGTGATTTAAATGTCGTTTCCTATTGTATTAGTCCTCTGCGAGATGCGCGAAATTACTAGCCCGGAAACTAAAGTGCGCAAAATTAAATCGTGAGAAGTATACCAAATTACATGAAATAGCCGTATGCGATAGAAACGTCAATAAAAGCAATGTTAAATTTATAGTTAAACGGATTATTGTTATGTTAATAGATAAACTCACCATAGAACAAGAACTTCGTTGAGGGGAACTGAAATCTGAATGAATTATTTCCACGGGAAATGATGCATTGTAGAAGTAATAGCTGTCATCACAAAGATCGACTTGTTCAAAGTATCCAGGTATTGTCCTTATTATTATAGCATTGACGCCAGTATCAAACATTAGTTCAGACATTTTAACCTTTGTGAACATTGTCTTTGAAACAAACACCCCAGAATAACAGTTTGTAATGGCAATTTCCCTTAGGTCTATGGAAAGAGAATAATGATTTTTCAACATAACACCCACATGGGAATTATTGACTGTAATTTTCTCCAAGCGGAAGATACCAGTACCGTTGTAACTTTTTGAAAGATTTAGTGCTTTAATACCGGTGCTGTTTGCCACAACACCATAAAAACAATTCATAATATTTATATTTCTTAACAAAATGTTACCATAGTTATGAATTTCGAGAGCCGCCGCAAAACCTGTGATGTTTAGGTTTGTGACATGAGGACATCCGCCATCACACACGATCGCTTTGGAAATAGAAAATTTTGATATTGATAAATTTTCTTCCTGGTTCTGCTGTACGACGTGTATTCTAACGTTTTTTAACGACGATTTTCCTTTACCAACGAAACGTAATAAACTTCTCGAAATGTTATGAAGTTTCTGATTCAGTCTTGTTCCAGTACATCTCAGTCCGACGTCTTGGGAGTGTCCTAAATTAAATATTACAAAGGTTACTCTGAAGTTATTTGTGCAAGCATGCAAATGTGACTGCTTGCATGTCACATATCGCCAAAAAAAGAAAACACATGGAAAGTCAAGATCAGGGAGAAAATTTGGAAGTTAATAGTGAGAATACTGTTCACGAGTGAAGCAATTTTTATGGTTATAAGTGAAACTTTCAAATTATTGTTGATGTTTGCCCAGCGGCGGCGGAACAGATTTCATTCTGGGGGGGCTAAATTTTTTCGGCGCTCTCCCCGTCGCCCAAAAAATTTCGGTCAGTGTACCATTTTATGGGTACAATATACAAAAAAAGGGACGAAAAATTTTTTTTCGGACTTATATCTAAAAATTTGTTCCGAAATAGACTTTTTTTAAACAAAATATTGCAAATTTGTCCCCTCATACCTAAATTTTCAAAAAATAACCTAAATTTTTCTGTAATTATCAAAATTTTTTCCAAAAATTCAAATTTTCTGGGGGGCTAAGCCCCCCCACTTTTACTTCTGGGGGGGCTTTAGCCCCCCTAGCCCCCCCTGTTCCGCCGCCCCTGTGTTTGCCGAGTAGAATTCAAAAGTGTTCTTACTACTTTCCAGAATTATATATTTTTTTTTCGTCGATTTCCAA